CTGAACAACCCTGTCTCTCTCAGCCTGTCTTCACAGGAGGGGTGCTGCCATCCTGCGATCAGAGCCACTGTGATTAGTGGCCTCCTCTGGACTAGTTCCAACAGGTCCATGTCTTTGAGTTGGGGGGTCCAAGACCTGGATTCATTATTACAGGTAGGGTCTCACCGGAGCAGGGGCACAGAATCCCCTTCCTTCCCCTGCTGGCCTCACCTCTTCTGATGCAGCCCAGGTGGTTGAGTTTCTGAGCTGCAAACACACGGTGCTGGTTCATATTCAGCTTTTTACCACAAGCACCCCCAAGTCCTTCTCCCCAGGGCTAGTCTTGACCCATTCTCCATACACACTATATTTGTGCCTAGGATTGCCTCAATCCAGGTGCAGGACCTTGTACTTGGCCTTGTTGAACTTCATGACGTTTGCAGAAGCTGCAGTTCTCCTACTTAGTGTGGCGAGAAATGTACATCTAATATTAACATAATTGAAATGGGAACAAAGCATTGACAAAAGAAACAAACACACTGACTCACAGCAAAAAGGCCATAAGAGCCCTACAGTCCTAACACAGAGTTAGGAGCAATTGATAGCAAAAGAGATCAGGGAAACAGAAGTATTGGGGGCAGGAAAAACATAAAAAATAGCAGGACTTCCATTTATAATCATGTGACACTTAAACTGCCTTTTGTTTAGTATTTACAGCTCCCCCACATAAAGATGGAGAGTTTGCCCATCTATACTACAGATTTCTGCAGACATTTGTGATTTGCAGAGGCCTAAATACTTCCAGCAATGCTGTAAGGTCTTAATACAAAACTTAGGCTTACTGATGGACATACTGTACTCGATTATCTCATGCAGATGTGCTAGATGTATGCTAGGGACCTTCAGGGAGCTGCAGTCCGTAGGATAAAAAGTACTATAAAATAAAATCTCAACTTGCACCATGTACAATTTATGAGACATATTAAATACAACTGCTATATTTTCAAATAGCACTGAATGTTAGAAAATGACATTTGGCTTTTTAACTTTCTTCTTATTTTGGTTTTTCTTTTTCTTATTTTGATTCAAGATGAGCTAAACCATAGCAAAAACAGAGCAAAGATTTCAAGTAAAACATGTTACTGGTGACAAAAATGACAGTCACAGGACAATATAGAATCATAGAATATCCTGAGTCAGAAGGGACCCACAAGGATGATTGAAGTCCAACAAGTATATACATCTAGATGGGAAAAGTATGACTTGGAGATGAATGCCCAAGTTCCTATTTCCGTCAGCTGCAAGACTAAGAGTAAAGTGCAGTGTAAGAGGGGTGCAGTTAATGCTGTTGCTTTACAGTGGTAGAAGATTCTAATTATCACCAGGATTCCATATGGGAATTAGCACCATCAAGTCAAGGACTGAATCTCTCAGTGTTTTTACGATCAAGCCATTTTACGAGTTTCACTTTTCGTTTTTGGCTGCCTCAGAAAGGAAAGATGCTGGAAGAAAGATACTGTTCAGCAGGAACAGTTAGAGGATACGCTGTTTCCCTCACGGGTGTCTCAAGTAGTGCGATCCTCTGGGAATAGCGAAAAGACCCGCAGGAAAAGACGGGTGTAGTCGGAACTGTGCCTGCCGTCGGGCGGTGCTGCAGAACTGGTACATACTGGGCACGGGTAGAGTCCCAGATTGGAGAAACCAGCCCTGCTTCCAGCACATTACCCACCAGCTGGCTCGGGATCCCGAGCTGCACGGACGCCCGACGGTCACGCCACCGGGAAGGGGAACAGGAACGGGAAGGCTTCTCCGCCGGGCAGGGACAAGAGCCCGGCATCGCCCGGCACCGGCCGTACAGGCACCCGCGGCTGGGGGCCGCCCGCTCCGCCCCGGCGCTCACCTGTAGGCGCTGAGGAGCGCCTTGTTGACCAGCACGGTGAGGAAAGAGCACGTCCCGTAGAAGAGCGCCGAGAGCACCCTGGGAAGTGTCGGGGAAGCGGCGACGGCGTCCGCCTCCTCCCCCGCGGCCTGCCCGGCGCTCATGGCGGCGACGAGCGGCGGCGAGCAGGGCCGCACCGCGGGTTTGCACCAGGGTGGCCGTGGGGACGCCGCTCCTCCTCCTGCTCCCCGGCCCGTCCCCAGACGGCGGCGGCGGCCCCGGGTCCGGCCGCGGCGGCCCCGCGGGCGGGTCTGGAGCGGCGCCGCGCCTCGCCTCGCCTGCCGGGGGCGCTGCCGCCGCCAGGGCCGGGGAGCCCCGCCAGAGCGGCCCACGGGACTCGGCGGCGGCGGGGCGGGCACCGCGCGGGGCCTTCGGCGGGCCGGGGCCGCGGCAGCCCGGCCCCCAGAGCGCCCGGCCGTGCTGTTAAACCAGGCCGGCGGCAAAGCGGGGCCTCTGGAGCCCGCCCGCGGAAGGGAGAGGGCCGAACCCCGCGGGGACCCTGGTGCAACCAGCCCTCAGCACCCCCAGAGCTCGGCCTGGGCTCCGCGCGGAGGGACGGATTCTCACAAGTTCCTGAAACTAAAAAACAATTTGCCTCGGATGGTTTACTTGTGTCAGATTTCAAGGGACAGGGAAAATAAACACCTTAAACCTTCTCTGCAACAAGCCGGGCTGTCAGAAACAAGGAAGAGGCTGAGTATTTAATAATTACCAAACAGCACACATTAAACCTGAAAATTAAATCAAGTTTTTATTCAAAGCATCTATTAGAATGACAGCACATCAACTCTTCTGCTTTTAACTCACGCCAAACTACAACTTAAATCTTTCAAAGAACCAAACAATTTCTTGTATGTAATCACTTAATAAAACAAAAAGCAGTTTTCCACAACCCATCTTTGCTTTTTTAACTTGGTATTTTACCCTAAACTTGTCATGATCGAAAACTGCTTCAGCTGTCTGAATTTTGTCTATGGCAAAGTACAATCCAGTGTACTTGTCATACTTCAAAGACCTGAGGAAATATTCTGGCTGACTGAAAAAAGAAATTTGAAGACCTCAAACCCAACAACAACAACAACAAAAAAAACCCACCAAAAAATCCACAACCAAACCTGATGAAGTAATATTCCAGTCTGCAAGTGGCTGCTAATTACAGTCTTCTGCCCCGTGAAATACTGCTCGGGAGCAATTCTGAGTTATGATTCAGAATTACAACAGATGTATGTTCAGGGCTCATTTTGGGATCAGACTATTCACAAGAAGCCAGATGAACAGTCAGAAGCACTTAATATTTTTTAGAAACCCAAAACCTACATACACGAATGAATTACCAGTTTTACATAGGCAAAGAAGCCTTATATGACTAGTGTTTCCTATTTTTTTCAGAAGCTGAAACAAAAGTTAAACCGTATCACTGGTGCAAAATTACTTACAATCAATGAAAGACACTTTCTTTTTTTAAATTATTCAATTACTTTTTAGTTAAGTGCATCGACACAGGATTTAAACAAACTGGATTAATGAGATTTTCAACCACAAAAGGTTATCAGAGAACATACTTCAACAGCTGCAGTTTCAGATATAAAACCACTCTACTTTTCTGGAACAGCTGTATGCATCTGGTCAGCCTACATCAAGTGATTGACAAAATGTTTTCTTCCTTTTCAGTTCAAGCAAGAGGGAAAGAGACTTCCCTTCTCATCTAAATTTCCTGACTTCCAACAAGGGGAAGAAGTTAAAGCAAGCAGGTCAGTAAATACACATTATTAATATCCCCATAAGCAGTAGCTTAACAACAACAACAACTGACAACAAAACCACACACAAAAAGTCCAATCTGAAAACAAAGTTTTGTTAGTATATTAGGAATCTCTGGCTGCCTTCAAAGCAAAATATGGTAAAAGATCACCGTGAGACAATGCTACTGAAAGTACATAACATTCACAAAGTGACAAGATACCCTGTTAAACATTTTATATCAGCATCTGAGTACTAGGCAGCATTCTGCAACTTCATTTATTTGGGAAATATATGAAATCACACTGTTAACACACTTGTAACTACCTTTGGAAGCCTATTTTCTATTTGTATAGTGAATACTTTTCTGCAGTGTTTACTTTATAGCTGTGCTATGGTTAGTGAACAAAAAATTGGCATGTTATGCTGGACTAAAGCAGTAAGGTGGCTTTATGCACAGTAAGTATTGAGGCTTCTATTTGCTAATCATTATAAAAGCAATGCTTTAAAACTTAGTGTTTGCTAATAGAAGACCTAGAATAGTTTACTACAAATTCATACCACCCTGTAAATAACCCTTTTATTAACAAAATCAAGTGCCAAATCACTAAAGGGCCCAAATACCTGAAAAAAATATTACCAGTTCTTTACCTTTTTCTAGACTTTGCAAGACTAATCATTTTCAGATAAAACAATGTGCAAAACTTCCCAACTACACATGTTAGGAATAACAAGTGCTACCAAGAGATTCTGCTGAAATCAAATCAAAAAAATGTGAAGCAGCAAAGTCAAGCCTCATACCTTGGGCAGTCACAGTGAAGATATTCCCTGCATGAAGCATTTTCTTTCCCTGTACAAGTTGAGATAACTAAACTCTGCCCTTCGCCTTGGAGATGCTAGGTATAGATATACTGACATTAGAAAAACATGGTTTCATTGCTGTTTTAACAATATCCCCAGACTCATCACTTTGCTAGATAGTCAGATAAATACTTTTTTGTCAGCCATCTTTGGCCACATGTACCATCCTGCTAATTGTGAACACTTTATTCAGAAAGTGTTTCCTGTGAAATCTGCTTCAGATAAATGAGTTAACCTTGCAAAAATCTAGCTTTCCATGACACATAAATTTATCAACCCTGCCTTATGCAGTCCCATATTTACAAAATACTTAGAAATTTTACATCTGTCTTCTACCCTATCAAAAGTGCAATTCTCTCACCCCATGTTATGGGGCAACAACATTCTTCATAAATTCTACAGAATAGCAGCCTATTATAAGCAAATAAGGTGCTTAGCTTATGCTTGGGATCTAACTGGTTAAGTAACACCAGAAAGTACATTTTTAATGGGCAGAGACTGCTCCTCCTATCTACTGTCGCAGGGGTGCCACAGCTAAGTTTGCCAGCTCAATGAGCGCCAGCGCGCCATGCATGCGTTCACGCTGCTCCTGGAGGCGACGGTGGCGGGCAGCTGAATGAGCACTGTTTTTCTCTTCATCGTCCTCTTCATCAGACTGAAGATACTCCATTGGGTCCTGCTGTTCCTGATCTGTTTTCTGGATTGCTTTGGTCTTCAAAGCAGGAGCACGCTGCTCTCTAGTCTCCCAGTATCTATAACATCAAACGTGAGGAATACTTGTAAAATACACACAACAATTGACTCGCACACCACCAATTCAAAATGGGCAAAAACCTCCCAAGTACTAGCTTGCATTGAACTGGGCATTGCACTTGGCTTTACCTTTCAGCCCTTATATGGTAGTATTTAAGCTGTCAGAAAGCTTCTTTACTCAGTATTTTCAATGTGAAGTGCCCAAGTGAACATCTGTGACAGATTTCTTGTCTCCATGGTATTCTCAGCAGGCATGTCTTCCTAGACATACAGTACCCCTCATACAAATGCAAATTCAGCAAAACTGTAGCACTAGCTAATAAAGTATTAGCAGGTGTTGATCAAGCAAAAAAAAAAGGTATTTAAGCAGAGAGCAAACACAAAACAAAACTGTAAGAAAAAAGTCTCAAGAACTTGGTCTTGACCAGGAGTTCATAATTCTTTAAGGAGAGGCAAGGCTCTGCTGATGTGTACTGGAAGAACATTTAGTTTTGCTTTCTTGGGGTTTAACTATCCCAAAGAATGAATGCTGTGTTAGACCACTCTTTTAAGTATTTTGAGAAAGATGAGGAAACTTACTTCGCTAGCCACTCGGCCACAGCTTTATTGTCAGCTGTCTCCTTCTTACTCAGCCTGTCTGTGAGTTCTTCCCTCTTCAGTCGGGCATAGGGATGTTTGGGACAATGACGGTTTGCATGTGTGAATCTGCTTAAGCAGCCTTAAAAAAAACACAGAGTGACAATGAAGAACGTGTTACAGAAAGCAGCCAACCAAAGAAAGTGTAGCATCTATGGGATGGAAATGGCACTGAATCCACCCTTCCTCATTCACAAAACCCCTAGGTTTTGTTGAAAACCAAAGGCTCTAGGTTCGTAACACGCCCCCGTCATTATTTTATACATTAGTATCCACTGACAGAGAATGTATGCAATCCGTAGATACATACTTGCAGAATTAGGCAGATTCTGCAGGGCTCTTCCCTTCCCTAAAAGTTCCACCAAATTTAAACTCCAAAGCTTTTGCCATGTTAACATGCATACATTCCCAATATTAGTCTGACCCCAGAAAGCTGCAAATCGTTCTCTGATGACTTACCATTCTCTGAGCAGACAAAAGGCTTCTCTCCTGTGTGGAGACGCTGGTGAGTTTTGAGCTGCCCACTCTGTACAAAGGCTTTCCCACAATCTGGGTAATCACATAAATAAGGCCTTTCACCTAAAAGTAGTAACAGAAGAGATTTATGAAAGATGACTAGAAGTGTCATAGTACCCAGCAGTGGTCCCTGGCTTCAGAAACTTGCATCTACTTAAAAAATCCTGGTGTACTTAGAAGTGCATGCTCTATGCTACTGAACAATACACTTATTTCTGAAGAGAAAAAAAATTGTACTTTTCCTTGTCATATTTCCTGATTTAAGACTGCTAGATAGCACTACATAAGTTTTGTGAAACTGTGCAGATAAAAAGCAAGAAATATGGACAAGTAATTGGATTCAGTAATACAAGGATTGTATTGGATTCAGGTTATAACCAGAAACATTTTATCCTTACCATAGCCTGAACTAGGGTAAAATAACCTGAGGTCAACATCACTGCAAGGTTATAGAATTATCTCATTAGGAGAAATAGCTCATGTTTAAGAAAAGTTATAATGATGAAGGCTGCATGAGAAACTTATTCCAGATTTAAGTTTTCTTAAATCAGTGATCAAGGAAGAGTTCTCCATGCAAACTGCAACAAAGAGAACAAAGGTAGCAGGTGTCTCCTTCCTCAAGTGGACCTGACTGCACACACTACACAAAGATATGCCATGCCACCGCCCTCAGGAAGGCAACAAAATGAGGGTGAGTATGGCTCACTAATTCAGAGGAATGACAGGGTAAGCTCTACTCAGTTAAGAAGTTCTTACAAGTTCAACACATTGCAGGACCAAGTGAAATAGTTTATTTTGACCAAAAAATGAGGAATGATGCTGTTTAATATCATTATTTAGATTAGTCATAGTGACCTGAGTCAGAAGGAGATGGTGACAGCCAGGACTTTTGTGGGATTTTGTTTGGTTGGTTTGAGGAGAGTGCTGGTGGTTGTGTCTGTATTGTGAGCTACATTTTTTCATGTTTTATGGCAAACAGTGTTATGTTGAAGAAATAAAATGTATTTGCTTGGTTTAAAAAAAAACCCAAACATCATCTTCAGTTTAAGCTCAGTTGAGTATTGAGTGAGTTCATCATACATTTAAACTTAAATGCAAATCACCTTCTAAATACTGTTCAATAAATTAGCCTGATCTCCTCCACCCCAGAAAATTAATTTTAGGTGGTGGGAAAAAACAACTGGGTGGTGATTTTAAGCATGTAGACTCTTCTCTCAATATTTAAGCCCACTTCCTGGGACAATCCTGAAGTTGCCACTTTTTAAGTTACTCTAACCTCTTACAGCAAAACTTCAATTGTGATGTGAAAAATACATCAGCAAGGAGGAAACAAATCACAAAGAGGCAATCAGGATAGAAAGTGCTACCAGGCTCAAGTACAGAGTACCAAGCCCAAGACTACAGTCTTTCTTAAAAAGTGAGTCTGTGACAGATAAAATGTTTACACAATTTGGCTATACTATTATAGCCCAAATTGCTGCTACACTTCCCCACTACAAATATGGTTACAAAGACTTTGATTGACTAACAAGCACTGGGAGCAAAGTATGTTAATTTAGCAGTTACAATAAAATCATAACAGGTTAAGTTCTTTGGGGTTCCTTTATGTTTGTTTGGGGGCGATTTAATTCCTTCATTTGTGCTTCCTAAGTGGCTCTCCCCAGCTATTCACATCTTCCTTTTACTCACCAGTGTGAGTTCGTTTATGGGCTTGCAGTGACTTCTCTCGTGGAAAGACCCTGTTGCAAATATTGCAGCGTATCCTGCTGGAAGAGTGCTCTCCTTCACTGATCAGGTCTCGGACGGTGTCTGCTCTTGGACGGCCGCGTCTTATTCCATCCTGGGTGTAAATAACGAGGCAACTAAACTCAGGCACTTCCTCCCCCCTGCAGTTTGGCCAACTGGCACAGCATGCCCTGGAGCGAAGGCATGACCAAGGATGGTGTTGTGACAGCACAGAGCCACACCAGACTGTGCCCAGCCCATTCCTAAGGGCCCGGTGCAGGAGGGGAGATGGCAGGCACCACCACGAGCTCAGGAGCACGGGGGAAACTGACAATAGGACCACAGAATGGGTCAGGCTGAAAGGGACCACAGCGGGTCATCTGCTCCAACCTCCCTACTCAAACAGTCATTCTAGAGCACATGGCACAGGATTGTGTCTAGACAGTTCTTGAGTATCTCCAGGGACAGAGACTCCAAAACCTCTCTGGGCAACCTGTGCTATGCTTGGTCACCAACACATAAAAAAATTCCTCCTCATATTGAGGTGGAACTTCCTGTGTATCACTTTTTGCCTACTGCCTTTTTTTCCTCCAGCTTGTTACAAGCAAATCCTAGCTCCATCCTCTTGGCACCGTGGTAAGATACTCATATCCGTTATTAAAATCGTCTCTTCTTGAGGCTGAACAGGTACAGCTCCCTCAGCCTTTCCTCACAAAATAAATGCTCCGGTCCCTAAATAATCTTTGTTGTCATACACTGGACCCACTCCTGGAGCTCCATGCCTCTCTTGTACCGAGGAGCCCAGAACGGGACAAACCGCTCCAGACACGAGGAGAGAAGACAAGAGTTTTTTTCGGCGGCGAGGATGGTTTTTTCATGGTCATTTTTTTACTTTTTAAAGGGGGGAGGACGGGCAGCCGCTCCATCCCCCGCTCTTCCCCGCGGCGCGCGCGCCGTTGCCGGAAGTGACTTCACTTTAAATGCCCGGGCGGAAGCGCGGGAGGGGCGCGCGCCGCGGAGTCACCCCGCAGGCGCGCGGCCCGCCCGCCCCAGCCCGCCGCGCACTCACCTTCAGGTGCCGGAGCCGCCCGCCGCTCCCCGGGCTCCCCGCCTTCTCCTCGTCCCCGCCGGGGACTCTGCCCGCTCCCCCGCGGGGCGGCGGCAGGGCTGACGGGCCGGCGGTGCTGTCGCTGCCGCCGGGGCTGAGGGTCACGTTGTGCGCGTTCTCGCCCCAGCGCCAGGGGTAGACCATGAAGTCGCTGAAGCCGGGGCTGGTGGGGACGGGTGGGACGGGCATCGGCTCCTCGGCCCCACTCCCCGCCGAGGAGGGCTTGATCGGGGTGGTTTTGATAACGGAGACCAGGACGCGCTTCGGGGAGTCCTGGCAAAAAATCACCGGGGGGGGGCCCGGCGGGAGCCGCTCCGCCATCGCCGAACCCTCGCGGGCAGCGGCGAAGGGAGGGAAAGAAAGCGAAAGGAGGGCGCTCCGCGGCGGCAGGGCCCCGCAGTCCGCGCCCGTGTCCCGGAATGGGCCGTGCAGCTGCACGGAGGTCCCGCGGCCGTCGGCACCTGTCGCCGCTCAGGCTCGCCTCAGCCGCTCATCACTGAGGACGGCGGCTCCCTGTGGTCTCGGCGGCTTGCCCTCCGCACCCCTCCGCCTCCGCGGCCACCCCCGAGCGGGTCCGCCAAGTCAGCGGCGGCCCCCGGGCATGGCAGCGCCCGGAGCGAAGCAGTCACAGCGTCCCCGCACCTTTCTGAAGCGAAGCCGGCCCCGCTGGCAGCCCCGGTCCCGGCGATGCCCGAGGAGGAGCCGCCGCCGCCGCCGCGTTACCTCCGCGCTCGCAGCCCGGGCCGAGCCCCAGGTTTTCCCGCGTTACGTTTCGCGCCCGAGCGCAGCCAATCACCCGGCCAAGCGCGGGTGTCACGGGGAGTCTGTTCCCGCCGGCCAACCGCTGGGCGGGAAAGTCGGCGGCCGCACCCCTAGGGGCGGGGCCTGAGGGCGAGGCCATGCGGCTGCTGCCATTCTATTGGGCAGAAGCCGGGCCCACGGCCCCGCCGGAGGCGCTGATTGGCCTGCCGGGGCGGGGGCGGAGGGAGGCAGGGGCGGTGCGCCCAGGCAGGTTTGGCGCGCTGCGGCTGTGGGCGGGCTGCGCGGGCCAATCCCGTGGCGCCGCAGCGGAGTTGGCGCGCCCGGCGGCTTAAAGGGGTCGCCTGGCGTTGGGACAGCGGGTCGTGGCTTCCCTTCCCTGGGGCGGGGGGAACTCTTTCCTTTCGCCTGCTGGAGCTCTGCCCTCAGCGGCGGACAGAGCTGGGAGCGATCTTACAGGCTGGGAGGGTACTCCAGTGAGCTGCCCCCGCGGGGATCGCAGGGCGGGCGGGGTCGGGCCGGCGCGGCCGTTATGGCGCTGGCGGGGCCGCCCGGGGAGACGCCCCGTCTAGCAACGGTGCCCGTGGCAATAGGGCGCTCGTAGCTGTACAGCTACGTGCACCGATCCCGGGGCTGTGAGAAGTGTGCAGAAGACGTTGTCACGACACTCGACTCGGGAATTTTAGGAGGTTCTTAAGGCAGGTGTTATTTTAAGAGGATGGTGCCAGACTTTATTCAGTGGTTCCCAGCGACAGGACGAGGAGCAGTGGCTCTAAACTGAGACATAAGAAGCTTCACTTCAACATGAGTGTCAGCTTCTTTACGTTGAGTGTGGTAGAGAACTAAAACATAAGAAGTTTCCCTTCAGCACGAGGCTGCTCCAGTCTGAGAACATAGCTTACATTTATTACATTAGTAGCTAAATTTTGAGGCCAGTATCAGGAGCACAGAGATGCCACGGAGCTCCAAAAATTGTGAGGTTTTTCCCCCAGATCTATTTTGTTCGCAGTTTGTATGCTGCTGACTGCTGCCTTGTAAGAGTGTTGGCAAACTTCATGACTGACTGGAACAGGAAGGTGCAGGGAAGAGCAGGTTTGCAGTGTATGACTACTAAGTAATGCCCTTTTGGATAATGGGAAAAGCCTACCAATTCTTCCAACACAGAGGCTGTAATATAGGGCTTCAGCATTCCTTATCCATCCTGAGATCAGCAGCCCTTTCATTCTGAATTATAGTTGAGTTTGCTTCAACTGCTCTTTTAAACTAACTGAAAATCCTCAAATGTTTGCTTAGGCAAATTCTTGTCCATTGCTATGCTATCCCAGCTTCTCAAAGTCAGTGTAACATGTCAAAGTCCTACCATTACTATGCCAGGTTAGGCCTTCCTTACCAGGCCAGAAAGAAAATGCTGCAGCTTGTAACATTTGTTTCCAAAATGAGCAAATAGGTTTCCACATGCTTGGATCTGACCCCCTTAAAACCTTTGGCCCTGAAAATAGCCCATGGTAAATACTTCTGGTAATGTAATGATGTTGTAGAGGAATAGTAATACAAAAAATATGTTAAAATCTACTTTAAAATTAAAAAAAAGGAAAAGAATATTCATGTTAAAATAATTGCACCCCAAAACCAAGCTGCAAATATTCTTCATAACTTTCCAAAACTACATGCCTAATGCTTCAGGTAGTACATGTAGCTGCTAAAGAACTCCAGTGATGGATGGAATTAACATTGTGACCTGGTGTACAGCACTGTAGATTCTGGGAATGGTGCAGTGCATTGTGAGCAACAGAGTATCTCCATATTTAACTGCCCCAATGTACGGGGGGGCACCCCAATGCTCACGTTATGTTTTGTGATGGATTTCAAGGGCCTGACAGCAGATTAACTTTTATATGTGGGTCTTGTAAATTTTTCTAATGCCAACTAATAGAATTTTGTTAATAGAGGCAACGCAAGAGAAGGGAGAAGTTAGTTGATGCCACATCTGATATTTTAACTGTTCTGAACAATGGTGTTTTATGTTGTAATAGCCATAACCAAAGAGAACTGAACTTTTTCTCCAGATCCTGCCACTGGAAGAGAAAATGGGCATATAGAATGTACCTGGCCTAGAGGGCTTAAAACACACTGCTTTTCAGTACACAGTCATAGGTATTATGATGTGTTATTAAAATAGTTCATGTTACATGTAAAACCTGTTCTAAAGTAATCATCTGAACTGAAGTGTCTTAGCAATATTAAATATTTCCTTTTCATAGTATTTTGATGCTATGCTACTAGCTTAATGTGTGTTTTGGTTTGACTGTGGCTAGATTCCAAAGTGTCTATAACTTCTCTCTGCAGCTGGACAGAGGAAAGAAATTTTAACAAAAGGTTAATGGGCTGAGATAAGGACTGTGAGAGATCACTCACCAAATACCATCATGGGCAAAACAGGCTCAACTTAGAGATATGAAGTGAATTTATTACTGACAAAATCAGAGGAGGATAATGAGAAGTAAAATAACCCTTAAAAACAGCTTCCTGCCACCCATCCTTCCTTCCAGCTCTGCTCCTACCACAGCAGCACAGGGAGACAGGGAATGGGGCTATGGCCAGTTCATCACCTGAGGCTTCTCCCACTGCTCGGGAAGAGGAGTCATTCCCCTGCTGCACCATGGGGTCCATCCCATGGGAGACAGTTCTCCATGAACTTCTCCAACATGGGTCCATCTCATGAGCAGCAGCTCTCAGTGACCTGCTGCAATGTGAGTCCCTCCCATGGACACACAGTCCTCCCAAAACTGCTGCAGCCTGGGTCACTCTTTTACAGGGTACAAGTCCTTCAAGGACAAGCTGCTCCATCATGGGGCCTCCCTTGGACTCATGGACTCCTTTGCGCATCCACCTGCTCCGTTGTATTGCACTAAATAGTTTATTTAGTTGTTGTTTTGGACTGGGTGATGGGAAATATTTACTGAATATGTTAGGTCATGTGGATGGGTTTTTCCCCTCCCCCATCACATGGTCTCTCCCTCACACACCCCCCCTGTTATACACACCTGGTGGTCTGTCCCATGGGTACCCCTCCCCTCGCCCCTCCCCACTGGTATCCCATTGGCCGCGGTCCTCTTTCCCCGCCCCCATTCCTCGGGTATAAAACTCCACTGCAGGAGTTCTTTCTTATGGACTCTTTTCTACTTGGGTGGTTGCTGCAACCAGCAGGGTCCTGTCCCAAGCCAATAAACAGGATACTCGTCCCCACGTGGAGAAGAGCGCTTCTCATCTTTTATTTCTGTCTATGCAAGTCCGTGTGGGCCAGAGTCTGGGCTAGCTGGGTCGGACTAATACAACAGCCCAGAGAGCCACGGATTATTGCACTGCTCCAGTGTGAGTCTCCTCCACCAGCTGCAGGTGGATCTCTGCATCCCCATGGACCTCCATGGGCTGCAGGGCACAGCTGCCTCACCATGGTTTGCACCAGGGGCTGCAGCAGAACCTCAGCTCTGGTGCCTGGAGCACCTCCCCCTCCTCCTCTTCCTCCTTCTCCACTGACCCTGGTGTCTGCAGAGTTGTTCCTCTCATGTGTTCTCACCCTACTCTTCTCTGGCCACAATTACATCTGCATAATAACTTTTTTTCCTTTCATCTTAAATCTGTTATCACAGCAGTGTTATCACCATTTCTGACTGGCCCAGCCTAGGCCAGTGACACATCTGTATTGGAGCCACCAGGGATTGGCTCTGCTGGACATGGAGGAAACTTCTAGCAGCTTCTCACAGAAACCGGTCCTGTAACCCTCCCCTCTCCAAAGCTTGCCCTTGCAAACCCAATTCAATGCATTAAAGCATTAATATTTCAGTGTAGAAACAAGAAAATGTTCTCTATGCGAGTTAAAGGACGAAAATAATGAAACATGATACAGTCAGATCAAATCCTGCTTATTACAACAAAGCACACCTTTTATCACACATGACATAAGACTGGAATTGTAAAAGGATAGGGAGCAAGGATTCAAGAGAAAGCCAGAAAATCTAGCTTGTTAGACTCAAGATGGAAATGACAATTATGGAGTTTGAGGATAGTAAACTTTCAGAGATAAAAACAACTAACTCTGAAACATAACAAAACATGACAAATAAAGATGAAATGATGTATTCTACCTCTTTAAAGCATGTACTTTATGTTATGGACTTTAGGCAGATAATAGCAAACGATCACACTGCATGTAACTTTATTGTTATTATGTTATAATATAGATTTATGTAAAACCTTAGCAATGGTAATAATATCTTTTATCCAAGTCTTTGTTATTATATTTTTAAAGTTTCCAGATTTCCTGTCTGAGCATTCAGATTCCACTCTAGGAATCACATTCCCAACCCGTGAGACTTTCACTGCTGGGACTGAGAACCCTTTGCAGTGGGTGGCTCCAGTCACCTTACAGGTGCCCCATTTGAATCCCTACACTCACCATGCTCACACTGCCAGACAAGCTTCCTTTGCCATCTTGACCCCACGTTTCCCATAGCAGTGTCCCAGATGCTGGGTTCTTGGAAGTATTTTGATCCTGATGTGGC